TATATATATACACGTACATATATATATATATATATATATATACTGACCTTAACTCGATGCTATGGCGTCGTACATATAAACAGACGGGCTTCTCCACCTTGCAGCCTGAACCACCCTCACACCATAGCATAAGGAGAGCTCTGTACAGCATCACAGGTGTGATGTGGCCCACATCTCTACACCCTTCTCGTGGGTGTGTGTAGAGTCCTAACCTCCATTGTGAGCACATCTATGGCATTTTTTTCACACCTACCAAGTGCCGTTGCCATGACAACCACAGCTCAAGTGGTAGTACGTGCGCGGTGGTCTAAGATGAGATAGACGGACCAGCCGTCTCGAGTGAACAGACAGACAGACAGACAGCCCAGTGAGTGATGATGGTGCTTTGGCGATGAGGCAGATAGAGAGAGAGAGAGAGTTGGTATATGGAGGGGGTGTTGCGGGGTAGTACGGTCACGGGATATACTCTTGCGTGCACGTATGCACACACACATACATACATGTGTACATGCACACATACATACATGTATATATGCACGCATACATACATGTATACATGCACACATACATACATGTGTACACGCACACATACATACATGTGTACATGTACACATACATACATGTGTACATGCACACATACATGTACGTATACATGGTACTATTTGGTGCGTACTACGGGGAGATAGTGTGAGCGGACGGAGAGAGTGCATCTCAGAAGGCGTGAGTGGGGTAGTGGCATGTCGTGGGGAGGGCTAGTGGGTGTATGGCGCAAAGTTAGAAGTTAGTTGTAGGTACATCTGCTGAAGTGTGTGTGTTTTGTGTACACATATATGCACAGGAAGGGTTGGTGTACATATCGTCATATATATATATATATATATGTGTGTGTGTAGTCGTACATGTATACGCAAAGTGGGTGGACATGCCTTCTTGTGTGTATGTATATATGTATACATACACGCAATGCGCAGGCCTAGTCTCCCTTGAGTTATGTTCCGAGATGTTAATGTACTCGCAGACACCGATGTATATATATATATATATATATCAACTTCCGATGAGCATTCGACGACATCCAGGCTATCCATGCACTGACCCTTACATGTATATCTAGAATGAAGTTCGCAGGAGTGAGACCTCTAACCGTAGCTACATATCACAGATTAACACAAATGCATTCTCGCAACGGTGCATTCAGCAGCTCCGACCCAACATTATAAACATTCTGCGGTTAGAGGGATTGGAAGGGCAAGTCAGAGAGTCGTGGATAAGTCTGTCAGTCGGACTTCTTTTCGCACATGTTATGACAGTTACAGTGCTATATATATATATATATATATCACCGTGGTACGCTATGCTGATGACAGCACTACTTGCTTGCGTATACACACGTTGTGTGTACCTGACAGTACGGCGTGTGACCGTTGAGAGTGAGTTGAGCACATTTGGGAGTGGGTGCTGAGGTTGCTGCTGGTTGAATGGCACGCCTCTATTCATCTCAGGCAGAGGTTACATACGTAGTTCTTTGCGTGTTCATTCAGAACCGTAACGGTTGCATCAGCCGAAACAATAACATCAGCTACACATCCCTTCACACAAACTCCATCTACAAGCAAAATCCCGTTGCCATGTTAGATGATGTGTGTACAGGATAGTAGCACTAACCGGATAGTAGCACTAACCGTGTAAGTGGTGGGTGATCCGCATAGGCTGCGTGTGTGTATTAAGACATCGACCACGACGTAAGAACGACGGTCATATATATGTATATATCTCTCTCTCAAGACATCCACAACGTGCGTACAAGCAAGACAGTCGCATTAGCCTTGTGACTGTGCGGGGATCCATGTCGGCTCGACTCTCAATTGCCGGGGGAAAGAATGAGCTTACACATTACACACGTACTGTAATCTGAATTGAAGTTGATAAAGGTTGCATGCAGACTCTGGTGTGTGAGTGTAGGTACGTACATGCGCAAAATGCTATACTAATGAGCTTATATACGTACCGTAATTTGAACTAACGTTTATAAAGGTTGCCTGACTCTGGTGTACGGGTGTAGGTACATGTTGTCGTAGAGTGTGGAGTACTATTCAATTTCTACAACTACACACCCACTAGAATAACTATCGAATAACCTCGATCATGTCATCATCATTTGTGTATACTATAGTCCTAATAGTATACACAAGGCGACTATAGTTCGACGGCCTTATGTCCAGCCTAGCTGTGTTTGTTGGGGTTGTGTATATATTTATTGTCTAAGCTTAACAATCCCTAATACGGCAACTTCTCACTATACCACAGATAATCAGGTAGGTATGTTTTTGCCTTTTGTGTAGTATGCGCATTAGGCGCCACACTATTGAGTACAGCAACTACTTCAACACACCAATCGCTATCGCGAAGGTCGTATACCGTTATTATGTACATATATATAAAATTTTAATTTTAACTGACAATTGATATGCCCATGTATAATTTATTTCTTGCTTAGCTAGCTCGAGTATGGCTGTGTAGTTATTATTATATTTGTATATTTGGCTGTATTTGATTTGTTGGTTTTTTTGTCTGAAGGCCCGTTAAATATGCTTGCTAATCATCCAGGTACACAGCCTTATAGTTATTCTTGGATACTACGTTGACAATTGCAGGTGCAGCGAATTGTTAGCACGGTCTTTCACCATCTATATATATATGCATGTATAATTATATAGTTATAATATATATATATATATATAGATATATATATGTATATAACCAGTAATCTATCTGTGCTGGCTGGAGTTCTATTTTGCGGTATTATACTCCTCTGTATCTGGCTTGTTGGTTTGTATCTCGATCTTCTGCTCTTGGAGGTTCTTCGGTAAGGCGGAACGGACAAAAGACATGAACCTACTTAACACTCCTGGCGATGCCGTAGGTGGGCCTCGTTTCGCAATTTCCTGAAGTAGTCGAGTCTGTGTACAACATATACAGATACATCGCTTGTTAGAATCCATATATAGATACATATAAATATATAGGTATATATAAATATATAAATATATATATATATATATATATATATATATATCATATATCTAATTA